CTCTCTCTCTCTCTCTCTCTCTCTCGTCGTCGTCTCTCTCTCTCTCTCTCTCTCTCTCTCTCTCTCTCTCTCTCTCTCTAAGTAAAAAGAGTCATTGACTACGTTTACACGTCACCCTTATGCCCATTTCCACCAATGTAGATTAACTCTCGGTTCAACTTATTCATCTTTTTCTAATTCTTAGGACTAGAAACCAGGTATTAATCGGGTTTCTTCTTCTTTCAATTGGTTCCGGGAGATGAAGACTTCTCCATATGATTCGGCGCTTTTGCGTAGGATACTTTAAGGAGGGGGAGGATATGCGTGAAATTTGAAGTAAATACAATCGTGTTTGTGTGTGAGTGCACTGGCGGATCCTAAGAGGAGGGGGGGGGAGAAGGGTTAAAACCCCCCTTTTCCAAGTTAAAAAATCAATTTTGCTGGATCCGTTTTAAAAATCTTGGTAAAAAATGCATTAAAGCAGGTCGAAACCCCACTCCCCCTCCCCCTCGCCATTATTGACATCAGGATCCGATAGTGTGTGTGTGTGTGTGTGTGTGTGACCGCAGTGTATGAGCTCAGGTTCGTAGGTTTGCTAAGCCCAAATGACTGTGCGGTTCAGCCATCTCTGCGGGACTTAATCGGGTTGAACAATATCCATAGTTATGAAACTGGTCACAGCTATTCCTCTAAAAAATGGAACTGGCCAGTTTCGGACTACGGATGTTACTAAACTCGATTAAGGTTGACGTGCAAACGTAGTCATTGCTGAAAAGAACGTACAGGAATTGAGAATTGGTAAAATAGGTAAAAAAATGCACAATAGAATTCCCATCAATATCTGTTCTAACAATAGCAAGAGCGAGAGCATAGAAAGCTGTACAACTAAAGATCGGGAAGAAGACAAAAAAATCAAAACGTGATATTTTTAAGCACAAAATAAATTATTATTTAATTGCTAAAAAGTTTTGTTATATAATTACATATATGATGAAAATAAAATTATTTTTCTATTATTTTTATATAAACACATTTTGCAACAAGTTTTGAAATGGATCTAATCGATAAGTTTTGTTATTGTAAAATCATTTTTTACACATTTTTAAAATAATATTTTTAACAATCTCGTATATCGATTCGAGAGACTCGACTTTTTTATCAAATATTAATTTAAGTTTATTTAAATAAAGGTCAAATTTAAATGTTAATGTAAGTTAGTTTAATTTCAAAGACATAATTACACAATAAAAAACTCAATCAAATTTAAAACGATAAAATATGGGAAAAATGCAAAAAGTATCGAAAATAAAGCATAAGAAGAAAAAATATTATATTTATTTTACATTTAACTTTGATCGTATTAAAAAAAGTTAAATAACAGATAATATAACGTAATTAATTACAATAATTATTCTTTAATTATTAAATATAAACAATTACATAACATTATTCGTAAACACGAAACTTTTTCGAGATTTACAATATATTCAAAAATTATGTGTGACTAACGTTTCTTTTATTAAATTTATTTTGATAAATAAAAAAAAAATACATATATACTACAGGTAAAAATTAACATACAACCATATCAACAAGTTGTCCAATCATTATTATTGCCAATAATAACCCGTCAACTTTATACTGTAGCATTCTGCCAAAATGCCAGGCGGAATCATTACATTCAGCGAGCATATCTAATGTACTAAAAACATCTTTCTATTAATAATAAGTAAATAATAAGTAAATAAATTTCAATCTTTACATTTTCAGACAAAGCAAAACAAAAAATCACCTGTCCAAAATGCAATATCAAAATATCAATACGATAAATCATCTGACGAAGAACCTAAGAGCAAACTTACCTCGATTATAGATTCTGCAGGATTTTCACGACTCCGGAGTAAATCTACATCTGTTATTCCAGACTTTTATGTACGTACACATACAAGTATACTTATTATGTAACTAAGATGTTGCGATATGCAATTTCACGCAGATAGCAAATGTATACAACAATTATCAACAAATATCAATTATCAATTATCTACAAATATCAATTATCAATTATCTACAAATATCAATTATCTACAAATTTACTTATACTTTTGACTCTTGAATGTGTTTGAAACGAAAATCGATATAGATTGAAGAATGAATGTGTACAACAAATTTGTAATTAATTTGTAACAGAATATATTGTTATGCAAATAATAATTTATTTAATCAAAATTATTTCTAAATAATTTCTTATTGAGATAATTGTTTGCTTAATTTTTTTACAAAAATAAAATAAAAACTTATCTCATATATTTTTTAAAATTATTTAATCTTGTAAAATTATAAAATTAATTTTTTATTTGTTTAAACCTGTTTTTTTAAAGACACCGTCGAGAAGAAACTCTGACAAGCCAGATACAGTTAAGCCCCAGATAGAAATTTTGCACAAGATTGACGCTCATGTCATAACGGCTCAGAATCAAAATATCAATGATAGTGTTATAAGGTAAGAAAATTATCACTAATTTATGATTACAAAAACATTTGTTGTACAATTAAGCAAGCCAATCCGCAAATATAAATATTATAAGATTTTTTGGTAATAATTTTTATAAAAATATTATTAAAGATACGATTTGTACTCTAAGAAATAAATATTTTGTTTAAATTTGTGCTTTGTGTTCTATGATTTGATTATATCTTGCATTTTCGTATTTATTTTAGCAAACCTTCGACATCCACTGCATACATGTCTGTGCAAGAAGATGCAGATTGTTACAACATGAGCCACAAAAATCGTGGTAAATGTGTAATATTTAATCATGAAGTATTTGAGATCACAAACTTTGATAATCGCGAAGGCACCGCAATGGATGCCAAAAGACTGGAGAAAAGTTTTACACGTCTTGGGTTTGAAGTAAAAATCCATAATGACTTTACCTTCAACGAAATTATGAACGAAATAGAGAATCGTGAGTAATTGTTATATTTTATTTTGGTTTATGACTTGTTTCTTGTTGAACTCGTTTCTTTCTTTGATAAATTACATGTTTATTTAATTAAATTTTGACATTTAATTTCATATGTTACAGTAAGTGAGTATGATCACACAGATAACGATTGTTTATGTATTATCGTTTTGACTCACGGACTACACCAAGATTTAATCAGCGCAAAAGACAGCATTTATAATTCTGATAAAATTTGGAAATCGTTCACCGCCAACAAATGTAAAACACTCGCGGGAAAACCGAAGCTGTTCTTTTTCCAGGTCGAGCAATCAACATTTTTCAAATTTTACTCTATTTTTATATTATCGAGAAAAATCAGAGAAGGAAAGGAGAAAAAAGACATTCATATGTGTTCTTGTTAGACTATTTTATCTAATATGTGTATTTTTTCTATCTCTCTAGGCTTGTAGAGGCGAACAACTTGATAGTGGAGTCGTGCTGTCTACTCGAGTTCAAACTCGCAGTAATTCGGTGGTATTAACAGGAACTGATAGCGTATCATCTTATAAAATACCGACTCATGCAGATTTCTTGTTAGCTCATAGCTCGGTTCAAGGTAAATGTTCTTCACCTAATTTTACTCGTGATGCGTGCTCGCGTGGTTGTTATCAAATTATTTTGTAATACAATAAATATCAGATTTTTTTTTTTCCTAGGTCAGGACAGAATTTATTCCTTCCATTTCCCTTTACTTCTTTCCGCTTACGTTATTTTGCGTTTGATTTCAGTGATATCAATAAATAAATCAATGATCAATATGAATAAATAATCACTTTTTATTATTTGTAGGATTTTATACTTGGAGAAATCCTGAAGAAGGAACTTGGTACGTACAGTGCTTATGCGACGTCCTCGACAAACACGGAACAGAGTATGAACTGATGAATTTGTTGACGATGACAGCACGAAAAGTTGCGATAAATTTTGCTTCTTATAATCCGAACGAGATATCTCTGCACGAAAAAAAGCAAGTGCCATCAGTGACAACGATGCTCACTAGATCCGTTTACTTTACACCGAAATCCAACACGTAAATTGTACGTTAGGTAAAGTATGCACAATCAGGAGCATTGAAAGCAGCGTTACCAATTCTCGTCCTGGGTTTCCACGCACACAATCGAGGGACCATGTTCATGTACTGCGCAGAGCGCTCTACCCAGGCTAGGATGAGAATTGGTAACGCTGATTGAAAGCTGTCCACTTCACTATTTTCCAACAAAGAACCGAATAAAAAAGTGCAACGTCAATCAAGCGACAGTTAGAAGCATTGAAAGCTATCCACGCGGATACCCCCCACCAATTTACAAAAGCATTTACTACATTCTTTACTTTTCTATTTTTTCCTTGGATGTTTGAAGGAGATTAGTAGATGAAAGGGGGGGAAAGGGACGCCAATCTACCTGTCGTTTGATTGACGTGGTACTTTTTTATGCGGTCTTTTTTCTTCAATAATCATTTTCAGCACAAGACAGTGCAAACAAAATATATAAATCTTTCGCGACAATAAAAAAATATAGAAATATTTCTTCCAAAAACTAATAACTTATTTTCTGACTTACACAAGATGTCTCATTTTAAATAATCCATTGAGATTTCTCGAAAACCAAGGCTTTCATTGAAAAATGTTTTGTACAAAAGTTTTGTAGTTTCGAGGGGGACAAATATAATGCCATTAATTTGAATTTCAATAATCGTTTGAAGGTCATCTTATATTTCTTAAATGGACAAGCCCATTTTTCATTGCATAATCTTGTAACCGAGGTCAAGGCGTTTTCGAAACACTAGTTACAAACTCTTTTGCGATGGTAAGTTATGGGTCTTCAAAGTTTAAGGGGTTATATCTACTTAGAAATTTTGAAAAAATCGATTTTTCAAAAATCACATTTTCTTAAAGTATATAATGTTAGAAATATTCCCTTAAAATTTTAAGTTGATCCGTCGTATTTTCATGGAGATATACGACCTTGAGTGTAGGTCCGTCGGAGCGCTCCGAGCCGTTTGGCGCGGCAGCTGCACGAAGGAAGAATTTCGTCTGCTTCTACCTGTCTTTCAGGTCATCTGTTGTGTGTATTAGAGTATATAGACATATAAGTAAATACAAAGAATCTTCCAACACATTTTAACTTCAAATTTAACGGACTTTTAGACCAGCAAA